ATTAGGACATTCATGGAGAAGGGTAAAATGGGATCCTATTTACAAACATTTTCATGGAAGGATCCCCGCTGATATTTTCATCTAAAATCTGGATAGCCAAGCAAGGGGGAGAAAAATATTTAAATAGTCATTTTTAGGAACCATCAGTATTTATTAGACTAATTAACTAGTCCAAGCAAAGCTATTGATACATAGATGGGAACCCCAAGATAGCAGGACACCAGATGGGAAGAATACTTTTACCTCATTCAAGATGAAATGGAACGCTTCACCACATCTTAATACATGGGACTTATTCAACCAATAGTGAGTATATGGCTAGAGGCAGAAAGAAATTATTAAATACTGAAATTAAGGATAGATCAGTAAGTATCCTCAATGGTCATTTATCCTACCAAAAAAAAAAGGAATAAATTCACAGAAGGGTTGGAAAGATTATTATTTGAAACTGTTCCTAAAATTAACTCATTTTTACTATACGACATAGATTAAAAGACAAATGATTAAGGAGATGAAATTATCTAACTGAAAATGAAGACGCAAGTCCGATTTAAGATCTAATGTCGAATTCTATTGGTTAATAGATATTATTTATGACACTTCGAATGTAAACAATATATAAATCTATGTAGAATAAGTTGGTAAAATTAGTAATTGTGAGAAGACTTGAGGACTAGTGTGAAGTGCTATATGTGAAAATAATGGATGATCTTGCAGTAGAACTAAAATAAATGATCTGGTATTTAAATTAGATAATGAAATATGAGGGGATGGTGAGAATATCATTTGATGAGATAATGATAATCCCCTTCTGCTATTAATTCTTCCTATAAACTGAAATATTCAAACACCCATTAACATCAAGTATGAACCTTGAAAATACTAAGAGGCTGTTCATAATGACACATTATTCATACATCAATTATTATGATAATTAGAAATTATTAGGTTGAATATTCTCCACATATGCTTTAAATAAATATTAATAAAATGACTCTTGTAAGTCTACCTCCAAACTTTAATTTTCTAACATTTTAGAATAAGGTATTCAATTATTCAATTATTAATTCCTTTTCTTCAAGGTAAATGTGTATAGATCAAATATTTAAAAATAAATTAATCTTTAATAAAAATAATCTTATTGATGATGAATAATTGTCATATTGTTATAACTTTTTACTTACAATCTGGCTCGCATTCCACCTCAATGAGTTTTAAGATTCGGGTCTCTATCTTGATCATCTACTTCCTCATGGATTTCTGGATCTAGCTGTAAAACTCCTTCATCACATCCTATAAATTTCTTTTTCTAGTTTCTCAGCCCAATCCTCTGCTTCCCCAAATAGATGATCCATGATGTGACCCATCGTCATTTTCTTGTCATGAGTCCTGCATTTTTTTCATCCATGTTTGAAAGGTTCAATAAACTCATAACCCAGGGTACGGTGAACAATTTAGGATTGAATCCTTCTCGCCATATCCCCTGACAGATTTTCATTTATCTCTTTTCCCCTTTCTCTAAAATTTCAACCTACTTTTCCAGACCTCCAAACTCTCTCTAATACGCCCTAGGATTGCTTCCAGATAATATTCAGTTAGCTTTCAAAGATCTCCTAATTTTCTTCGATCGAGGTTCTTAATTGATGGTTCCTCCAGAGGAAATAACTGAAAGTTACACGCCTTGCAGGAATGTAATATCCTCCGAGTTACCAAGATATTAAAAGAAGTGCTCTATTAACTTGTTTACAGAAAGCAGACCATTTTTCAAAGAACGATTTTTTTATGAATTTAATGAGATTTCTTTTTTTCTCGGTTATGTAGATTTTGTTATCTTATTTTGAAATAAACTTTTAAGATTGTAAAAAGATTACTTCACATTACATGATTAATGGTTTATTTATAATATTTGATATTAATTAATCTAGCCAAACATTATATACCTCATCTAACTCAGTCAAACAAATCATGTAATTTGTTTTTTTATTAAATTTCACCATGATGATATTCAACAGCATAGATAGAGTCCCTACTAAAATAATCTAGAATAAAATGAAACCATGACAATTCTTCCATAAAATCTATCCATTATCCATGTTTCATTCCGTCCTTATCATACTCTCCAGCTCCTCTATTGGGATTATTTAAAATTAATTTTACATTTCTTAATAGTCATTTTGTTTAAACTTATTATACCAGATCTTCCATCTTCGATGCTTTGTACCATTTTGATATTCTCCTTCGTAAATAATTTGACTGCGACTAAATAATTGATTTGATATTAATACTAATTAAAGTACTCATATAAATCTTTCCAAATTCCTACTTTTAAACCATTCTAATCATAAGAACCGCCGCCACTTAAGAAAATTAAAAATTGCTACATTTATTAGAACTGATTTTCTTATTCTTAAAAATAAGTTAGCCACTATCCTATCTTAATTCCATTATCATATTCACCAATAAATATTATTTTGCCACCTCTAGGTTTATCTAATTATGTTTACTTGAAAAAATTATCAAATGGTTCAACCCACTTTCCTTGTTTTTATCCAAATTTATTATAATTCCCTTCACCTCTAAAAAATATATTTTAATTTTAACAATTTTGTTTATATTTAGTTTTCATGCATAAATAAATTCCAAACACCTTATTTTTTGCCACCAACATATTCACCTTCATAAAGAACAAAGCAATAACTAATTTTGTTAATTCTATCTACTCAAAAAAATTTTCATGAACATCTATCCATTTTCCCATTTTCTATCCCTTTCTATCATAAAGCCCACCTCCTCTAATGATATTTAAATTTTAAAGTTACATGATTTCATTTTAATAGATAATGTCCCACCTTCCAAATTTTCTTCCTTGATATTCTCCAGAATATGTAACCAAGCATGAACTACATTAGAAATAATATTACTTCTAAAAGTTTTCATGCAGGGTGATCCATTTCCCAACTTTAGATCCTTTATTATACATACCGCCGCCGCTATATATTTTGAAATATAAACATAATAAGATTATTGTAATAGATTTCCCATTTGGCTACTTTTTTTCCACTTTGATATTAACCAATTTAAAGTATTTTACAATTGCTAAAGTTCAACTAACCAATTACTTCGAAAAATTCTGGTGTAGATCAACCCATAAACCATTCTTGCTACCATAATCATCATAAACTCCGCAACCTCTAAAATTAAGAGTATAGAAATAACATTATGATATCTTTTATTAATATATCCCAAACTCCTACTTTTTTATCCTAGTTGTAATTTCCTTTGTAAAAAGTTACGGAGGATCTTACTAATAATATTTCTTACTTATTAAAATTTTCAGATAAATCAATCCACTGTCCTATTTTTATACCTTCCTTAGTCTATATTCCTCCTGCTTAGAAAAATTCACCAGTATATAGGGCTGTACATTTTTCATAATTCAAATTGTAATCATCTCTTATTGACCATTCTAAACATTTAATTTAATCTAAACTCCTAATCACATTAAATGATTTTAATTTATTTTTTATTGTTTCTCTATCAATAATATCATATTTCATATTACTTTTTCAGTTTTACTCCATCCTTGATATAGATTATTTCTGAATCATTGTTATATTCAATCGTTAAACTTGTTTTTTATACTTAATACTCAAGAGACCAAAGATTAAAGTTGTTTTCTATTCCTTTTGTTTCTATTTTTCCTTCTTACCAATTTTTATTTTTGTTTTCTTTTATTTTTACACTAGAATAGCATTACTTAATACTTTAATTGAAGAAGCACTTTTAATTATTCAGATATTGTTGTTAAATAATCTCTGAAATGCTATTCTATAGAGCATTACATATCTGTTATTGGATTTAAAAATGATTTTTTGTCAATAATCCATTATTCTAATTTTTTTTAGTGAATTGATCTAATAATTAATTCCAAATCAATTGAAGAGATTTCACTTGGTTTAATATAATAATTCAGTAATCTTAAGTAATTTTAATCACCATTATTTATTTAATTTAAAATCTCCTGAATTTATTTTTATGAATCAGATAAACACTTTTAAAACTATTCTCCTAATTTTTCCAATAACTTCTGGATTTCAGTCATTTTTTTTTTTAATTAGAATGTTTATTACAAATTTGCATCAACTAAATTTTACATTTTTCTTAAGATAAAGTCTGGAAAATTTGTTATAGGAATCAATTATTCTGAAGAAACTTGTTAATTATGAGCACAATCTTAGCAAAGCTTTCTTTAGCATTAATGATCTGCAATACAAACATTCAGGATTTTATTTTCAATATGGTCAAAGCAATACATATTATTTTCAATCATTTAATAAAATATTTATTCACATAAACTTGAACTAAATTGTATAAGAATGTATACTAAAAACTAAATAATATGTTATTACCAAAGAATTGGAGAGTTAAGGCAATTTTGGGTTTGAAAAAACATTTTTAGAGAGAAGGTAACTATTTCATATTATTCAGAGCTTACTAACCTTAAGTATTTACTCTACGAAAATCAATATTCTCTGATAAGAATGAAAATTTTTTTCTCATAAAATCAATTTATGACATTTAGAGTCAATTAATAAAATGAGTTTGTAAATCTGTTTAGAAATAATGAATTATAATCACATATATTATTTCAAATACTTTTTTTGATATGTAAACTTATATGCGTTAATTGAAATTTTAGGAAGTTAATTAATTTTGTATTAGGAGATGAAGATTACAACATACACCTGAGCCTTAACAATAGGAAAATCCAAAGGTTAATTGTTTTTCTAAAGATGTGATGCTTCATTAATGAGGTAAAGATAAATGATAAGGATCAGCTAATCAAAAAGGTTTTCATGTAGTTTAAATCTTTTAGAAAAAATAGAGATTTTAATTATGAATTTGAAATCAACATTTTTTTTACATTAATTTTATTGTTGATCATTTTTTTTCTTATTAATTTTGATTTTGATTTCTTCTTTTTTTCGCTAACGTGATTTTTGAGATTTCTTATTTATTAAGCTAATTTTTATAAAAAATAGCTCTATATGTGTAGTTTGGAAATATATTGATCTAATCATTCATTTTATTAAACAATAGGTATTGAAATATTGTCAACATTTAAGGGCAAATGATTTTCAAAAGTGGAGTGTTTCCAATTAATTTCAATATTTAAGCCTATTGTTGAGTTTCAAATCAATTTTCCGATCTTGTAAGCAGTCAGATTCCTAATAGTCTCTTTAATTGATTTAATTCATTTTTTTTATGTCTATTTGAATGTCAGATTACGTGATGTTAAATTAAATTATCAAGTCTTATCATTTCAAATCATAGCACATCGTTATTCAATTTTTATTCCATTAAATAATTAATTTGTAAGAGATTTTCAATAACGACAAATTTGAGATTTTAGTAAAACTCGAACACAACAGATTAATAAATTAGGTAAGAGAACAATATTTCTAGAAGAGAATTGAAAATTTCAGAATACAACCTCCATAATTATATTCAGGTTATTATTAATAATTTATTTTTAAAAAATTAACATAATTAGAAATTTTGAAAAATATATTAAAGTTATTGAGCGCATAAATGAAAGAAAAAATTAAATTATAAAATATTTGATATCTTAAATGAAATGATGCTTCATATCTTTGATAGCTATTTCTTAATGTAATTGCTTTCATTAGATCCCTGTTCTAATGCAGCTAAATAGAACTATTTAGCTTCTGATTTCATCCCAATTTCAAATAGCGAATCAGCTAACAATAAATTGCATTTGTGTACCTTTTCCTCTTAATCTTATTGGATTAATGGAAATTGAAAGAGCTTCATCATAACATGAGATAGCATCCTTATATTATTTTAATTTTTTTAGCGTCAAACCTTAATTAATAAACGAAAATATTTACCCTTATTATTCCATGCATCATCATATTTCTGGTTAATTGAAATAGCTTTGTCAAAGCATTTAATTGCTTCTTAATATTAGTTCAGATTGAATAATCCTAAGCCTAATAATAACATTTAACAATTAATTACCCTTATCATTCCAAGCTTTGTAATTATTAGGGTTATGCAAAATAATTTAATCGAAACATACAATTGCTTCTATATTATTATTTAATATTTTTAACACTTGGCCTAAAAATGACCTTTATTATTAAATACCCTTATTATTCCAAGCGTTATCGTTATTAAGATTAATTGAAATAGCCATTTCATAGCACTTAATTGCCTCTTAATATTTCTTGAAATTGCATAATAGTAAGCCTAAATAATCATATTTTCGATTAAATACCTTTATTATTCCAAGCTTTATCGTAATTAGGATTTATTTAAATAGCTTCTTGGTAACACTACATTGATTCTTAATATTTTTTCAAATTATATAATGCATAACCTCATAGTTAGTTTTAACAAACATTACCCTTATTGTTCCAATGTTCTTCGCAGTTTGGATTAATTTAAATGGCTTTATCATAGCACTAAATTGCATCTTCGTATTTCTTTAAATTTTCTAATGCTAAACCTAAATTTTAATAAAATATAATTAAATACCCTTATTACTCCACACTGCCTGAAGCTCAGGGTTAATTGAAATTGCTTTATCATAACATTCAATTGCTTCAAATAATTTGTTCATATTGTATAATGCTTAGCCTAGATATAATATTGAAAATAAATGCCTTTATTATTAAAAGCGTTTTAGTAAAGAGGATCTATTTCAATTGCTTTATCATAACACTCAATTGCTTCTTACTATTTATTCAATTTTATTAATGCCAAACCTTAACTACCATTTTAATTATTACCTTTATTACTCCACACTTAATAAAGTTATGGATTAATAGAAATTGCACAGTCATAACATTAAATTGCCTCTTAATATTTATCTAATTTGTATAATTCCAAACCTATATCACAATACCTACGAATTAATTACCCTTATTTTTCCAAGCATTATCATGTTGAGGATTTATTAGAATAACTTTGTTGAAACACTCTATTGCTTCATGCTTTTTATTCAAATTGGATAACGCTTATCCTAATTTATAATCGATATAAGTATACCTTCAGTAAATAATCTTGCAGCCTCTTCGATATTCTACTAATTTTTATCTTCATTTACTGAAAGGATTTCTTCAATTTTAATCCTTCTGTAGGGACAGGAATTATTTTAATCATAAGGCATATTATAGTCTCTAACCATATTATTCATTGTTTCAAGAACGTTATTCAATTCTCCTAACTACAACTCTATTTTAATAAGGACAAATTGCTACGTCTTTTATTTTCTTTTTCATTTAAGTGAAACTGCTTGATTATACTTATTTATCCCTTAAAGCTTAAATAGTCTTTGTTTATAATTTATTAATTCATCCTGTCTAAAAATTTAATATTTTGATCCATTATTTTAAAAATCTTCTCGAAACAATTCTAGAGTTTTGTTGAAATTTCTTTGAATTATTTACTTGATTGATAATAGACTTGGATCAATTCATTAATATAATCGCTCAATTTACAAAACCTAGTACAATCAATCAAATGATCTAAATGGTTAGTAGTTAAACATTCATAACAAAATTAGGTTGCATTTGAGCAATATTGATTTAAGCAAAATCCGATTATTTCTTCTTTTTCATGTTTTAGATATTTACACCTAAAGGTTTCCATTCAAAAATATAAATAATAAATATGATAGAATTACTCAATAGCCCTTATTAACTAAAATAAAATATTAAATAAATGGAATCATTTTAATAAAAATAATTCCAAACCTCTTCATTAATGTTAGTACTTTTTCATAATCAATCCCCTTTAAGAGGATTTGTTAATAAATATATATTATCATTTTTTTATTATATGTTATTATGAAGTAGTTGTTGTTGAAATTCTCCATTCCAAAATTCAAGAGATTAAGAAACAAATGGTGTAGCTATCTTATTTTAGAATTAAAAAATGGGGTTCAACTTATAAAAAATTAATTATTAATTTTTCATAATGCAGAATCCAAAGAAACATTCATTTCTCAATTTTATCATTTTTTTTCAAGGACTCAAAGAATAATTAATAAAATATATATGTTTTATTAATTGTTGAATAAAGTTTGAAATTTAAATCAATAATAACTGTACTTATAATACTCATATTTTAGAATAAATAATCTGATTAGGAACATTTTGCTTGTATGATTATTGTTCAAAGATAATTGAATTATGTTACGAATAATTTATATTATGATATCACTAAAATTATTCACTATTAATCTATTTGAGTTTTTTGACAGATTGTAAGTACTCTTAATTATTGAAATCTAAAAGTGCTAATTGGATTAAAGTCTTGGAATTAAATATTAAATTATAAAATATATATAAGTAATTTATCTTAATATATCTAATAAATCGTATTTGCATCATCAAAAGTTTTTCATATTATTTATTATTTTAATGTCCAATTATGTATTGAGAAACTGCCTTATTCTTATGAACTTTTTATGTAGGATATCTTAGAATATTTAGTAACTTGGAGTTGTGATCAAGGACAATCTGAGGTCGAGGGCATTTGCATAACTTGCTCATCTAACTGCACGAATTGTACATTTCCTTATTCCTGTGACTCATGTATGCCAGGCTTCTATGTTACTGCCATCTTCTACTAATGCGGTGCTTGCCAAAATGGATGCGAAGTATGTACCGTAAATGCACTTTCAATAAAAACTTGTTAAACTTGTTTTCCTAAGTTTTATAAATCTGGTTCAAATTGTTTCGCTTGCCCAACCTATTGTGCTACTTGCACTTCTAGCTCAGTATGTTAAAGTTGCCTGGATCACTATTTTCTTAGTTCAAATCTGTGCTATGCTTGTGATAGTTCTTGTAAGGCATGTTCAAATACTTCTAATATTTGTACAGAATGTGACGTTGGCAAATTCCTTTAGTATAATTCATGTGAATTTTGTTTATCCCCATGTTCTGCTTGCATCGGAGATTCACTGAATTGTACTGCTTGCATAGACAATAAAAAAAAAGTAGTCTTGAATTAATGTGTTTGCAAAGATGGATATTACGCTGATTAATTAGATTAGTGTGTTCTATGCACTGCACCCTGTTCAAAGTGTGAAACTGATGCTAGTACTTGTACTGAATGTATCTCTGGGTTTACATTAAATTTGAGTACATAACAATGTGCATGTGCCTTTGGTTATTGTTAAGTAGGTAATACATGTCAAGAAAGTGCATATCCCTGTGAAACTTGTGTAGAGAGTCCTAATAAATGTTTAACTTGTGTTGATATTAATTAAATAGTAACTGATTCTAATGAATGCATATGTTAAACAGGTTGGATTTTAAATACTAATGGAAATGCATGCGTCTAATGCTAAGCACCATGTGCAGAATGTATAACTTAAATAAGTAAATGTGTAACCTGTAAAGATGAATTACATTAATAACTTGATACTTGTCAGTGTGATATTGGATGGATGTTTGACATTAATTTCTTATGCATAGCTTGCTAATAACCATGTAAAACTTGTGAAATTATTACTACTAACTGTTTGACATGTTTAGANAATTTATATTATGATATCACTAAAATTATTCACTATTAATCTATTTGAGTTTTTTGACAGATTGTAAGTACTCTTAATTATTGAAATCTAAAAGTGCTAATTGGATTAAAGTCTTGGAATTAAATATTAAATTATAAAATATATATAAGTAATTTATCTTAATATATCTAATAAATCGTATTTGCATCATCAAAAGTTTTTCATATTATTTATTATTTTAATGTCCAATTATGTATTGAGAAACTGCCTTATTCTTATGAACTTTTTATGTAGGATATCTTAGAATATTTAGTAACTTGGAGTTGTGATCAAGGACAATCTGAGGTCGAGGGCATTTGCATAACTTGCTCATCTAACTGCACGAATTGTACATTTCCTTATTCCTGTGACTCATGTATGCCAGGCTTCTATGTTACTGCCATCTTCTACTAATGCGGTGCTTGCCAAAATGGATGCGAAGTATGTACCGTAAATGCACTTTCAATAAAAACTTGTTAAACTTGTTTTCCTAAGTTTTATAAATCTGGTTCAAATTGTTTCGCTTGCCCAACCTATTGTGCTACTTGCACTTCTAGCTCAGTATGTTAAAGTTGCCTGGATCACTATTTTCTTAGTTCAAATCTGTGCTATGCTTGTGATAGTTCTTGTAAGGCATGTTCAAATACTTCTAATATTTGTACAGAATGTGACGTTGGCAAATTCCTTTAGTATAATTCATGTGAATTTTGTTTATCCCCATGTTCTGCTTGCATCGGAGATTCACTGAATTGTACTGCTTGCATAGACAATAAAAAAAAAGTAGTCTTGAATTAATGTGTTTGCAAAGATGGATATTACGCTGATTAATTAGATTAGTGTGTTCTATGCACTGCACCCTGTTCAAAGTGTGAAACTGATGCTAGTACTTGTACTGAATGTATCTCTGGGTTTACATTAAATTTGAGTACATAACAATGTGCATGTGCCTTTGGTTATTGTTAAGTAGGTAATACATGTCAAGAAAGTGCATATCCCTGTGAAACTTGTGTAGAGAGTCCTAATAAATGTTTAACTTGTGTTGATATTAATTAAATAGTAACTGATTCTAATGAATGCATATGTTAAACAGGTTGGATTTTAAATACTAATGGAAATGCATGCGTCTAATGCTAAGCACCATGTGCAGAATGTATAACTTAAATAAGTAAATGTGTAACCTGTAAAGATGAATTACATTAATAACTTGATACTTGTCAGTGTGATATTGGATGGATGTTTGACATTAATTTCTTATGCATAGCTTGCTAATAACCATGTAAAACTTGTGAAATTATTACTACTAACTGTTTGACATGTTTAGATGTTAATCAAGAACTTAATTCTGCATAATAATGTGTTTGCAAACCGACTTATTATTCTGATACTCTAAACACATGTGCTTAGTGTTAAGAACCATGTTATGAATGTGATGCAAATGGATGTATCAATTGCATAGATACAAATTAAGTCTTAAATTCCTATAAAGAGTGTGTTTGTAAGGAAGGATATCTTCAATAAGGTACCCAATGTCTTCATTGTACAAGTCCATGTTCTACTTGTATTATCAGTCTTAATGCATGTTTAACATGTTTTGATCCAAATTAGATTGTTGATAATCATTAATGTATATGTAAAGAAGGATTTGTCTAGAAGGATTTCTATTGTTGCGATAGATATTGTATAGATTGCCAAGGAATAAATAATTGTAACAATTGTATAAAAGGATTTTATTTATCTATCACTAGTAGATGTTTGTAATGTATTGATCATTGTGATGTTTGTAACAATCAGAATAGTTGTGAAAACTGTTAAGTTGGATACTTTTTGAATTAATCATATTAATGTGAATTATGTAATATTTCTTGTTAGACATGCAGTAATAAATTAAGTTGTGATACTTGTTTAGATGGTTATTATCTAATAGACTCAAAATGCGAGCCATGCAATCAAAACTGTTTAACTTGCAGAGAACTACCTCAAAAATGTCTTACATGCAAATCAAATTATGAAATTAATCCTAATTACTAATGTGTCTGCATTGTTGGATACTATGAATAACAGAACCAATGTTTTAAATGTGAATATCCATGTAATAGATGTCTAGATAAAACAACATGCCAGGAATGTGTTCAACTATCTAATTTAAAGTTAGGAATGAATTTTCAATGTAATTGCAATTCTGGTTACTACTGGTTTAATAATAGTTGTTATTAATGCTATCAATCTTGCTTAACTTGTATTGATAATTAATTCAATTGCCTGAGTTGTGATTAAAGACTGCATCGATATTTAGAAAATAATAAGTGTTTGTGTGATTCAAATTATTTTGAAAGTGAAGATGGATTTTGTATTTCCTGCTTGGATTAATTGGGAAAATCTTAATAAAGCTGCAAAATTTAAGATTGTTAAGATTAAATTTGGACTTATGGGGAAGAATGTGATGATGGAAATGATGTAATTAGAGATGGCTGTTCTAATTGTAAGATTGATCCTAACTATTCTTGTTCAAATGAAGTACTAAAGTAATCTATTTGTTTTCAATGTTAATCTAATTGCATTTAATGTCAACTGAATCATTCAACCAGAAAATCCTATTGTATTAAATGTCAAACTGGCTATTTCTTAGATTAAAATGATTGTGTTGAATGCTCGATCAATTGTTTGGAGTGCATTGATTATGCTTATAATTGTAAAAGCTGTAAGTTTCCATAAAAGAAGAATCACAAATGTTAACTCTGCTAATCGGGATACTATGCAGATGAAATAAATGGAGTTTGTTTATTCTAATGCGGAGATTACATTTAAGTGAAGGAGGAAGAATGTGATGATGGAAATATTCTTAGAAATGATGGGTGTGATGATTAATGTAGGTTAGAACATACATATGTGTATATAAATGGTGTAAGTATCATACCAAATTATCCAAAACCATTATTACAGAGCATAAGCACTACTTCAATTTACTCTGTTATCCGATTATTCAAATTATACTATACTACTCCAATTATTATTACTGAAGGCTTTCAGATTAAAGATTACCTAACTTTTCATTTCTCCAACAAAAAGAAAGTATAAAAAATGGATCAGTCTCTTCATATCACTCAAGAAATATCATAGCTCAATGAGTTTAACTAATCCTAATTAACATTGATAATTAATATCACTTTCTCTAGAACTTCCCAAGACGAAAACCTATTAATCAAATTCATAAATAATTCTGTCATTAAATCAAGTGAAGGATACTACCAAATTGAAAAGGAAGTCACTTGCCTCATACCGTAAGTGATATACATTGATGAAGTCACCATTAGTTAAGTACAAGCAACTACTCAGAGTAACACCTACTTACTCTACTTTATTGGGACAATCTGCATAGGATCAGTCGTTTTTGGAGGGGTTGAAATCTTCTTTAATTTGTTAGATACTCTTTAAATGCTATCTTATTTAAAATACATAAACACACAACTCCCATATAATTTACAGGCGTATTTTCAACTCTTTGGCTTTGCCTAATTCAATTTTATCTAGAAGATTTTTGATTTCTCAGGATTAATTGATCTAATGCTAAATTCAAACAATCTGAAAAAGATACCCACTAAGGTAGCCAGTGATGACATAACATCTCTATTTATTATAAATACTGCAACAATTACCACAGTTTGGATTTCTCTTCTAGGTATATATGCAATTGCAAAAGTGATACCTAAAATTCTTTATTCTTTCAAATTTAAATTTTATTCTGAATCCGAAGAAGAAAACTCCTGGCTTATCAAAATTGGAGTATACTATTTAACAATTAAGTATGTTATTATTCGAATATGCTATGCCATCATTTCAGAATTCTTCTATAGTGGAATTTTACGTGTTCATATGGCGACTGCATATGATCTAACTTTTAGTGTATTTCTTCAATTGTATGCTTTTTAGCTTAATTCAACAAACTTTTTTATCAAACTCAGTTCTTTATTAGCTTGTGTGGCAATTATAATATATATATTTAGCATTTACTTTGTCATACAAATATCTTAAATGAAGAAATACTCTTTTAATTGTATAGCCATCAGAACTAAATACGGATCTGTTTTTGATGGAATTAAAATACATTAATTTTCATAGTATCTTAATGCTTTACTTCTAATCAAAAAATTTATGTTTATGTTTTTATTAGTTTTTGCATATGAATTTCCTGCATTTCAAACTGTCAGCATTACACTCCTATCAATCATGATGAGCCTATTTTTAATCTTATTTAATCCAATAGAAGATAAATTCGAGTATTATAAATAATTAGTTTGTGAAATTAACATCTGTTTTACTCTACTAAATATTACAATTCTGACTTTTGATTTCGAATTATCTTATTTTACCTAAATGACTCGATAATCGTTTGGATGGGGGTGCATTTTTTTTATGACAGCAATATTATGTATTCAATTAGGGGTTGATGGTTTTTAATAATGGAGGTTTATCTTTAAAAAATATAAGCAAATAAGGAAAATAGCAGATTCAATACTTAGATTATTCTCGAAAAATGATCAAGAAGCACCAAAAGATGCCAAATGAAATTAATGTAACTTAGAGCTGTTCTCAATCAATATATTTTTAATTGATCATTTATTTATCGTATTCAATATTTTATTTCATATAACTTGTTATTTAGATCTGACAGGTGTACCATAAAAATTATTGAAATTTCATTTTTGACCTTCAGTTGAAATTAGAGTATGGTCGATATCGAAAATACACGATAATTTCAGATTAGCATTCCAATACCCAATTTTAACCATCTCAAATCAAACCACCTAAATTATTATCATAAATAATATTAAATAAAATAAATAATAAATAATTTTCAAAATCGATCTCACTTCTATTCATTTACATTTTCGAAATTTTTTAAATATTTCAAAAATATAAAATATTTCAAACTCGTTAGTTTGTGGTTACTTAAATATCTAATAAATCGAGTTCTCTCTCAAATTAAATTTATAGAAAGAAGCCATAAATTATTATGATAATATAACTCAAAAAATGATTGTTTTTATTATTTTTGTATATAAGTCATGAATAATAAAGATTATAAATTTAGTAATTAATAATTGGCAAAATCAGAATATGATTGCAATGTTACAATAATTTTAATTAATTGGATAAATCCAAACAATTACCATTTGAATTGAAATGAAGATAACTGTATTCGAAATTAATATTAAACTATAAGAGAGCTGAACAGAATAAAAAGCGATGTCATTCTTTAATAAAGCTATAAAGTTATTGAGTTGAATCCAAAAGATCTGAAAAATATTTCATAAAAGTTAAAATCAATAAATGGTATTCACATTTAACCAATTTATTATTTGATTAATTCTCTGAAGGTTTTCAATTAATTTTAAGAATGATTGAAGAGCGAGATATAGTTTTGAATTTTGATAATTTCTTTTTTAGATTAAAGCATAAGTTTTTTCATATTGCACGACGGTGATTTTACTTCTCAATAGAATTTATTTAATTTCTTCATTTCTTTTGTATGTAGCAGTATACTAGTTTATTCTATATTCTTATATTAAATGGCAAATTCAATTATTATTTACAAATATTAGATATAAATATTCTAAATTTTTTTCATTTCTTCATCAATTAGCAATTATTCAGAAAATAATTATCAACTATGGTTAAATCATAATGAAAATGAAATTTAGAGTTAATTGCTAATAACTAATGAAAAGAAGTTTAAAAATTGTTGGTTTTTATTTGAATTAATACTTTTCCGCTATTCCATCATTTGTTTATCAATTTGGGTATTACACCTAATATTCTATATTTAAATATAGGAACCGAATTATCAAATAAATTATAATAATTAATGTGTTTTCTTTAATAAATAAATGTATATAATTTGGCTACCTAATATATAGCGATTTCATTCTTTCAAATATTTGATATATATTTATTAAATATAAGTTCTTGATATAGTAATTAATATTCTTAATCAATTATTACACCTTTTTGAAATATAGATTATTCCTTTTGAAATTCATCTAAGAAAAATGTATTAATAAAATATCATACTTGTTAAATTTACTTGTAAACTTATTTTTTAGTGAATATTCATCTACTGCGTTTCTCTAGACAGATAGATTTTTTGATCCAGCCTTTCTTTAGAGAATTTTAAAACAATAGAATAATTAATAATAAAATGAAGAATTGTGAAATACATCCAAAAGAACCCATAATAGGAATATGCATTGCATAACATACTGATTGTCAAAGAAAACTTTGTTTTAAGTGCTTCCATGATCATAAGATTACAATTTAATAAAGTCTTCCATTCGATGTTTTTTTAGATCGGCTTTTAAAACTAAGTGAAACATACAAACTTAATGATAAGGGAAAATATGATGAGGTAAGAATAGCCTTTAAATCTCTACTATCTACTTCGGAAGAGATGATAAAAAAGTTATTCATCCAATTGAATGATTCCATTTAATACATATTTGGAAAGTTGAAAGAGCAAGATCAATTATATTTAGATCTAATAGACAGAAATTAATAACCTGCATTATCCTATCTTCCTGATTTAGACAAATTAGTGTAGATTTTGGAAGGCAGAGTTTTATAAGATTGGGATATTTAAAAGAATTCGTACCTAGAATAATTAGGCTAAGCAAAAGAGTGGCTAGCGGAATAAATGAAGACATTTAATTAAAATTTTTAAGAAGAAATGAGGGAGATATTTTCAATAAAAAAGTAAGAATTGGATTAATACTACTAAGCATCAAACCAATGGAAACAAAAAAGTAATTAGCAGAATAGAAGGAGGAAAAATAAGAAGTCATAGGGTTCGTATGGGATAGAGTTTGGTCTAAATTAATTTAGACCAAATTTTAAACTGTTGTAACTCAAGACAACAAATTAAAGTACATAAAAGATGGAATCACCATAAGGATGTAATTGCTATAGTATTTTTAATTGTAATAGAGACACTATCAAAGATACTTCGAGAAAACCTGAAATATTGGTTAATTTAGAGCAAATTTAACATCTAGAATGGATAGGAGATTATAGCAAAACTAATTAAAAGACTGGGAAATGGATAGCAAAATGGAAAGGGAAAATTTTAAAGGAGGTGGGAGGGGAGTACTCTAATCATGGAAAAAAAAATGGAAGGTGGAAGGAAATGATTAAGAATTATTGGAGGTAAATAAATAATTCTGATGTAAAAGTAAAGCGGAAGTCTATGAAATGGGTGAATATGAAGATGACTAACGAAAAGGAACTTGGAAGTACATATATGAGGATAAAGATTTGTATACTATAATTATTAAAGAATAGTGGTGGGGGAGAATATAACAATTAGAGCGAAAAGAACGGAAAATGGATTGAGTTGAGTGCTGGATTTTGGGAATACTCACAAATTACATACAATGGAGAGTATAAAAATGGAAAAAAAATTAATAGATGGGAGATCATGTTTTAGGGAAATGATTTACTGTCTAAGTAAAAACAGATGTAAAATTTAAATAATACATTAGTGGTGGTGGATCATATGACGGAGAAGGCAATGGATCAAAGATAGGAGAATGGATTGAATTAGGTGAGGCATTTAGGGAAAGTTCATAAGTCACTTTGAGAGGAGAATATCAATAAAATAAAAAAGTTGGAAACTGGAAGATTTATTGGTGTTGGTGTGGAAAGAATTAGGAAATGTAATAATTGATAAAAAATATTATTTTTAGTGGTGGTGGATAATATGAGAATGGTATTAAGGTTGGTTTTTGGATTGATTTGAGTGATGGATTTGCAAGTTATATGTAAGTCACTTAAAATGGTACGTATAATAATGGTAAAAAAGTTGGAATGTGGGTGGAAAAAGATATCAAAAAGAATGAGATATGTAAAGAGATTCATTATAAGAGTTGATTTCAAATAATGTAACTACAAATATACTTTTAATCGTTTTTAATGTGGACTTGTTTATTATTAATATAATCTATTTTGTACTCTCATTCTTTTTAAGGTTTTCCTTAGATGACGAGTAAATAGTATTAACTTATAAAATTTTTAAGTGATACTTCAATTATACTTTTCCATTTTATTGATAGTATTATTTAAAGAGATTAATACCTAAAAACTATATCTGAATATTTTTTTTTAATTATGATTCAAACATATATAGAATACATTAATGATGAAAACCGCATCCTTTTACGCTTTCTATTAGTAGACCAACTGATTGATCAAAAAATGGAAAAAATATAGTTGTTTGAAATTGCCAAAGTAAAATCCTTAGAAAAGCTTTGAACCATTATTTTTGAATTTTGTTATCGATAGTATGAACGTAATAATAATTGGATATGAATAATGTGTCATTGTCGACGGCCCCTAATAGCAAGGTCGACACTCGCAAAGCAGGAGTGTTTAAATATTTCCATCTTTTGCCAGGCTCCGCCATATAAGGGGTAGATCATCAACTCATCAAAGGATAATCTGTCAGCCCCTGGGTTTTGATTATCTCATTCAAGATCTTTGTCACCTCCTTTAGATCATCTTTAGGATTCTAACATACCTTAAAATACCAATCTACCCTTTGTGGGTTACTCATCCTCACCTCCACAAACTTAGCCCTCGAGG